CACCCGAGAGCTCCGCACCGGTAAGTCTCGATTTTTCGTAATTTTTTGACCCACCAAGGGCCCTAGGGTTGTTTTATCGCAGGAACAAATGCAAGTTTGGCTGAATTCGGCCGAAACGGCCAACCCGTGGCAGATCGCCGCCACGGGCGGCGATGCTGTCGCCGGAGCACGGCAAAGTCGCCGTGCCAGAATTTTGATATTGGCCGAAAAGAACCCTGGGTCTGATTTGGGGTTTTTTGGGACATGTGCAGTTACCGAAAGTGTGTTTCTGTTTCCCGAAAAAAACTCAGAGAATTTATGGACAGCCCATAGGTGCAGTGAGAACCCAATTTCAGACCCCGAAACAAGTAAGAATTTCTCACCCTATTTTCTATCACGGTATTAAAGCTCAATAAATAATAAAACGATATTTCATGAAGTAATACATGTGTATAATTAATTAAAGTTACTGATGGAGCCCGAATCTGATGTATTTTTCGGTCAGTTGTTGTTCGATCTATTTTACAGTTTTAAATGCAGTATGGTATCTGATATGTTTATTTTATGGTTTCGTATACATGAATCCCGGTTTCATTTATTATAGTTTGAATTATGGTGAACCTGATGTTGTGTTGTTTCTTTTTGTGTTCATTATTGGTTTTCGTGTTTATGTTGATTGGATAATTGAGACCAAGAAAAATGAAAAAAGTTATGTGAATTGATAAATAGATAATGTCGACAGCCTAACTAGATATTCTGGGAGATGGTGGACGGATCGAGTCCGTAGGGAACCCTACCGAGAACGTGGTCTCTCATATCGGACGGGGTATGGAAACCTTATTTGTTTTGGCGCCCATACCGGACGGGGTATTGAGGTTTATGATTTTGGCGCCAATACCAGACATGGTATGGGGACGGCCCATTAATCAAGTTATTAATATGAATGGTTCACGTGTAGTGGAGACCCCCTATGGATCCCCATGGATACTAGTAGGCTGATAAAATAGGAAAATTGTTGTCTGATGATTAACAAATGAGAGTTTGATATGTGTATGTTACAAAGTGTGCATGATTTTATGATGTTTATGATGTTATTGTATTTCATAAGTTGTCTTTCATGAATCTCACCGAGGTAAGTGGACAGTAAAGGTTTTTATTATTGATAAATGAGTTTGTTATAAATTATTCTCCATTTGTCATTTTTGTTTTCTACCAACCTTTACTCCTGTGGCAGTGAGATAGTGTGATGTCTTTACTGGGCTAATGTAACTCATTCCTTACTTAACCATTTTAGATCAGGAGGACTTGGTTCCCGAGCCCGTCCCGCAGGAAGACGGCGAGTAGATGACTAAGGATTTGATATATTTATTTATAGCATTCATTACTAGTGTTTACTTCAGTTAGTTTATTCTTTCATACGTTAACATGTTTTGGTTATTGTGTAAGAGATATTAATCAGAATTTTTATTTCGCTTCCGCACTTAAAATTTTTAATACATACATTTTTTAAAAAAATTTCTGGGGCCGTTTACACCGGTTCGCGTAAGAATCTCTTATATTATTCTCTGTTATGGAATTAAAGTTTAATGATCAATAATATGGTATTTTGTGTAATTTAAAAAATTTCGAGAATTAATTATAGGTTACTAATAAATGCGAAATTGGTTAGTTATTTATTATTTGTCCTGTTAACTGATGGTTAATTTTATAGCTTTAGATGCATGATAACATACTGAAATGGTTAAATGATTCAGTTATGTTTCCTTGATGTATGTATTATTTGTCTTGCGTGATTACATTTAATTTGTGAAACTGAAAATTAAAATATAAACGAAAAAATGCTTGGTTAAGTGAATAAGTGAATGATTATCTTACTGGATATCTTAGAAGATGGTGGATGGAC